AGAAGGAAAGAGAAAAGGAAGAGAGAAGGAAGAGATGGAGGGGAATATAGGGTGGTGGCCACAAACGGTCACTCTTTACCATTGCTGAGGCTGAGAGAGTGTGACGATGGATACCTTGATGCCCAGAGACTTATGCCTCTGGTTTGGGATTCCTCAGCAGTGAAGAGGACCCAAAAACAACCCCAAGCCCCTCCATCTTCAAGGAGTTGTGCCTGGAAGCGTCTGCCTCTTCCCCTCCTCCTTCCTTCCTTCCTTCCTTCCTTCTTTCCTTTCTATCTCTCCTGAGTACCACTTGCATCAAATATTCATGGCATCCATTTTCTCTCCTTCCACTTCGCCAGCAAACCTCTCCTCCCTTCTAATGCATCCATCCTCCTGCCTTCGGGAGGCTGAGGAATCTAATCCCTCTCTTCCTCCCTCTTTTCCTTCTTTCCCTTCCTTCCTTTTGAGACAGAAAAACCACAAGACAGATTGTGGCTCGTGCAAGGCTTTCGGAGCCAAAAACCTATGCCGTTTCCCTCTTCTAGCACTACAATCCACTCCAACTGTTTTCCTGGACGTCCGGCTTCTTTCTCTGGATGGATGACCATCTGTCAGGAGGGATCAGATGGTGTCTTTAAAGCAGAAGGGGGTTGGACTGGACAGCCCTTGGGGTCCCTTCCAACTTTAGGATTCTACAGTCTATAAACCAGACTATGGCCAAGGTTCGAACTCCACTTGGGTTGCCTTGGGTGAGGCCTCTGATTCGAAGCCCCATAAATGGCATGGATTGCATTGGCATAGGATGGAATAAAGTGGAACGCTAGTGCCATAGCTGTGTCATGTGAATCTAAGAAAGGACCAGAAACCCCTATAATAATACAGTAGAGTCTCACTTATCCAACATAAACAGGCCGGCAGAACAATGGATACGTGAAAATGTTAGATAATACGGAGGGGTGAAGGAAAAGCGTATTAAACGGCAAATGACGTTATCATTTTACAAATTAAGCACCAAAACATCATGTTTTTCAACAAGTCGACAGAATAAGCAGTTCAATACATGGTAACGTTATGTAGTAATTATTGTATTTACAAATTTAGCACCAAAACATTGCAGTGTATTGAAACAGCTGTGGATCCGGGTGGGAGGCAGACTGCATTGGATAAGACAGAATGTCGGATGAGTGAAGGTTGGATAAGCGAGACTCTACTGTAATAATATCAACAACAACAACAACAACAACAACAACAATAACAACAACCACTTTATTTGTATTCCGCCCTATCTCTCCAGGGGGACTCAGGGCGGACTCCAATGTACAACATACGTTCATGGGATTGTCATAAGCCAACAAACAACATCAAGATAGATAGATAGATAGATAGATAGATAGATAGATAGATAGATAGATAGATAGATGGGTAGATGCATGGATGGGTGGGTGGATGGGTTTATGGATGGATGGATGGATGGATGGATGGATGGATGGATGGATGGATGGATAGATAGGTGAATAGATAGATAGATAGATAGATAGATAGATAGATAGATAGCGGATAGATAGATGGATAGATGGATAGATAGATAGATAGATAGATAGATAGATAGATAGATGGGGAGTGGATGGATGGGTGGATGGATGGATAGATAGGTGGATGGATAGACAGACAGGATAGATAGATAGATAGATAAATAGATAGATAGATAGATAGATAGATAGATAGATAGATAGATGAAAAGATAGATAGATAGATAGATAGATAGATAGATAGATAGATAGATAGATAGACAGACAGACAGATAGATGAGGACAGATAGATGAATAGATAGCTGGATAGATAGGTGGATGGATAGATAGATAGATAGATAGATAGATAGATAGATAGATAGGTGGATAGATAGATAGATGGATAGATAGATAGATAGATAGATAGATAGATAGATAGATAGATAGATAGATAGATAGATAGATAGATAGATAGACAGATAGGTGGATGGGTGGATAGATGGATAGATAAGTGGATAGGTAGGTAGGTAGATAAATGATTAGATAGAAAGATGGATGGGTGGATAGTTTTATATTCATGTAGTGTTGATGTTTATACTGCACTTGCAGTGCCTTGTTAACTGTCCCAAGTCCCTTTTTGGGAGATGGAGGCAGGATACAAATGAAAATGATGATGATGATGATGACTGATAGATAGATAGATAGATAGATAGATAGATAGATAGATAGATAGATAGATGGATGTAGGTAGGTAGGTAGGTGGATGGATGGATGGATGGATGGCTAGATAGCAGATAGGCAGATAGATAGATCACACACACACACTCACACACACACACACACATAGATATATACATATATACATATACACACACAGGCACAGACTCGCTCACAGCTTGTCACACCAACACTCATCCCAACCAAGGCAATGCTTAAAAATTAAGACAGAGATCTTAGTTAAATCAAGGAGATCAAGGGGGATCAGGATTGAGGGTGGCACTTCTTCTTTCACAGAGGTGCCTGCCTTTGTTTTCAGGGCTGCCTCCCCATCCCTATTTTTCCTCTTTCAAACTCCAGGTGGCATTCATTCTTCTTAATTGATCCTCAAAGCGATGTGATAAAAAGTAGGCCGAGACCAGGAAGGCGAAGAGGGACCGGATTTCCCAAGCTGGGGCTGGATCTCCCCAGTCCTCGACCCGACATCTCACTAGGAATGGGTTTTAAAGGAAAAGAAGCCAGCATTGGACAAGGACCCTGAGAGATATGGGTTCGAATCCTTGTTGGGGCTGGAGATGGTGGGGGTGCAATCTCTCCCAAAAAATGGACATATTTGGTCCCAGAAGCATCACCTGAGATGACCTTGCACTGGCAAAACTCGCAGCTTCAGCAGTTTTGCAACGGGAGAAAGAAGACACGGAGCCAGCTGGCCGGCTAGCCGGCTTCCTCTTCCCATTCTCCAAGGAAGGTCATTGAGTCTCGCCTCATCTCTGCAGAATTCCCATAAACCCATACAGTTGGAAGCAGCCTCAAAGGGCATCCAATCCAACCCCATTCTGCTAGGACACAACCCAAACCCTCTTGACGGATGGCCATCCAGCCTCTGCTTTAAAAACCTACACCAGACTCCAAGGTGGCAGCAGATTCCACTGCCGAAGAGCACTAACCATAACATGGACCATCCTAATTTTACTATTCAATTATACATGGTTTACATCTTGGGGTGTTATCTTATTCTCTTCCAAGTCTTCCTCAACACCACCACCAACAACAACAACAACAAAAACAACAACTATTATTACGTTCCATAGATCCATCAGAAGTCTTCCTCTTCTTCTCGTTTCCTTGACTGCCATTTCCGTTCATAAGTGAGTCCAAGCTATATCTTTAACCATTTCCAACCATATGTGGTCATTGTTTTTCTTAACCTTCCATCATCACCCTGCATTTGCAATGTCTTCCTTGGCTCCCCTCCCCCCCCCCATATATATATATCCCAAGTATTTTGCTATTTTCAGCAGTGAGTACAGTATCGTCGGCATATTGTAAAATGTTGCGCTGCCTTTCCTTGGATTCGAACAACTCAATACACAATCCAGATTGCCATATGATAATATTTACACAATTCCCATGTTTGTAGATTAGGTTTTCATGGGTTTGATTCATAGGGTCCCTCTTAAAAATCTTTAGGGCCTCTATGGTCCACTCCCCTGCCACACATTGACTTTGGGGCTATAGGAAAAGCCTACACCTCTGTTTACATATTGTCTGTCCTTGTTAATTGCATAACGGCATTGAATGTTTGCCGTATATGTGTTCTGTAATCTGTCCTGTCTTGAGTTTATTAGTAGGAGACAGAGACCCAGGTTCAAATTCCTTCTCAGCCATGGAAACCCATTCGTTGACCTTATTCAAGACACACACTCTCAGCCCTGGGATTGTATGCAATGCAATCACTTCACACTCGATATCGGATATTGGAAAGGGACTTTAGTTGGTAATAGGCTCGGCATGACGATCACAGCTAGGGACACTTCCTAGCGATGTCATTAAGTACGAGACGTTAACTATCGCATACGGAGTGGGGACAGGAAGCAACTGTTTTGCAATCAAGACCAAAATCATACCCAAAAGAGCCATTCCCAGATCAGGGTAATAGGATTACTAACTCTAGTCCGTTCACTTCCAGCCAGAAGCCAGAGCAGAACGGAAGGTGAGCTCTGGCAGGTCAAGAGAAGGAAAAAGAAGCTGAGAAAAGCAAGGAAAGGAAGCTGAGAAAAGACCCAACACAAGATGGGAATGACAGATCAACACACCCTTGCTATTTACACACTCAGAGAGACCCAAGACTATGGAGACAAAGCAGAAAGATCCTCCGAAGATGTCAGTAGCTGCTGGAACACATTGGCTGTACAGATCGGAAAACCATGCAACAACACCCTGAAGCGAAAGACCTTTCTCCATCACATGACAGATCACATCTTGGCACAGGCCTCCGGGAAGGGCCTGCATCCCCAACCCTGTTCCAAAACAATTCTCCCAATGCCAGAAGCTGATCGGATTGTGTTTGTTGACAAGGGAAGGCAGGAGATTCCCCAAAAGAGACATGAGGCGTGGGTCCAACTGAACCCTGTCTTGCATCGCATTGGGGTTTCGAGCATGCAAGATCGGTGAAAAACATGCCAAGAGAGGAAGCCACGTCTGAGTCACTGCAAGAGGAAGGAGGAGGGATGGGTGGAGGCCGTGGCACAACACGCAGAAACACCCGGCTGGCCACAACAGGTACAAAACGCACGAGAGTGGCGGGGCAAACGGGATCGCAAAGGCACCCAAAGGGCAACATTGGCCTTGTCTTGGGTATCATCTCATGGCAAGCGATAGGAGACTCGGCATCGCATGTCCTCCTTGAAATCAATCAGTGCCACCAACTCAAGGAGCAGAAGGGATCCCTATGCCACCTAGCAATGCGCCAGCAATGTGGGACTCAGAATCAAGAAGAAGATCAATACTCACTCCATCCTGCCCTCCGACCCAGGCAATGCTTTTCAGCTGTGGCTTTCCTTCCTTCCTTTCTTCCTTCCTTCTTGGCAAGGTGCAGCTGTGACTGGAACAATCTCCTTTCCGGCTCGCTTCAAGCCCTGTGGCCTCCAGAGGTTTGGAGAGACAGCAGCTCCAAAGCCGGCTCCCGGCTCAACATCTCATCCCCTTGTTTTGCAGCTTGGCCTGGCTTGTGCGAGCTCAGGATGCGAAGCAAGGCTGGGTGGTGGTTATATATACGTGCGCGTGTGTGCCTATGTGTGTGTGTGCCAGAGATAGAGACCCTGTCCTTTTTTTTCTCTCTCTCTCCCTTCTTCCCTGTCTTCTCCAGTTTCCAGCACTGCAATGGCACCGCCTGCTGCCGGTCTGCAGTCATAGCCATCCGCAAGCAGGAATATTGTGCTTGTTGTTGTTGTGTGGGAACATGAACAGCCAACACGGCAGGGAGAGTCCACCAGATTGGCACACAGAAGCTTACCTCACCTTTCTTTCCGCTTGTCACCTATTTTCATAGCACCATCATGTTCGTCTGGTCCAAACACAGCGAAAACTCTCCTGAAAGATGTCCATCCAATCCCAAAGAAATAGACCAGGAAGGGGCCACAAAGGTCATCTAGTCCAATAATTACTACCACTAGCTTGGGTACCTGGTATGGCCCAGGGTATTTGAAAAATTCATTTTTTAAAATTGTACATAATGCATCCATTGTGGGTGAACTACAACTCACATAATGCCAGGTAAACCCCGAGAAACTCCATCAGTACCTAAAGTTTGTGATGTTGGGCAAATTTGCTCTGGATGGCTCATCGGTGGGGTTCAGTGTGCTCTCTGGCTGGTGAGTCAGTCCCCTCAAACCTCTCCAGTAGGTTGAGTTAGTCATGGGGTCTCTGTGTGCTGAGTTTGGTCCAGCTCCATTATCGGTGGAGATCACCGTTTCTCTGGTTGTGGGTGAACTACAACTCCCAGAAAGGAATGTCAGTTCCTCCCCAAACCCCTCCAGTAATCAAATTTCGGCATATCAGGTCTGTGTGCCAAGTTTGGATCAGATCAATCAATGTTTGGGTTCACAGTGCTCTCTGGATGTAGGTGAACTACAACTCCCCCAAATAAAGGTGAATTTCCCCCAAAGACGTTCAGTATTTTTTTATGGTCATGGGGGCTTTGTGTGTCAGGTTTGGTCCAATTTCATCTTTGGTGGAGTTCAGAGTACTCCATGATTGCAGGTGAACTATAAATCCCAGTAACTCCAACTCCAAAATGTCCAGGTCAATTTCCCTCACAAACCACCAGGATTCCAATTTGGGCACATTGGGTATGCATGCCAAGTTTAATCCAGATCCATCATTGTTTGGGTTCATAGTGCACTTTGAATGTAGATGAACTACAACTCCTAGAAATTCCTCCAAAGACCTCCAGTATTTTTTGTTGATCATGGGGGTGCTGTGTGCCAAATTAGTTTCAGGTGCATCATTGGTGGAACTCAGAGTGCTCTTAGATTGCAGGTGAACTATACATCCCAGTACGTACAAGTCCTATGAATTCTCCCCAAACCTCTCTTGTATGTTCAGTTGCTGATCTATTCCTTTGTTTGCTCTGTGCCATAGAAAATAATAGGAAAGGATTAAGGGAGAGGCAGTGGGCGGGGTCATGCAAATTCCACACCAATGGAGAGAGTCAGAAACAGTGGGATGTCTGTGGTGGAGGAAAGATATTTATTTACTTTTATCCCACTTTTCTCCCACGAATGGGACTCCAAATGTCAAACAAAATAGAAAACAACTACATAATACAAAACTGTCATCCCACAACCCAACACAGAAATCATAAAACAACCCATTGCATAGATCCAAATTACATAAATAGAAATAAACATGAAAAATAACACATATGTCATTATAATTTCAAAACTCTACACCTCAGGCCATTGAGATTGTCCTAGCAAGTTAAAACATTAATTTAAACAGTTCAGTGCTCCATATCTTTGGTCATATGCACCTTGAGACTTGTCTGACCAAAGTGGCTCCTATTGTATGTTATGGGGGAAGGCCTGCTTCCATAAAAAGGTCTTCACTTGGGAGCAGAAGGCCAATAGCTAGGGGGCTGAAAGTACATCTTTGGAGAGGGAGTTATAGAGCTGCAGGGCCACCACCGAGAAGGCCCTCTCATTCCCAACTGTACTTGTGACTGTGGTGGGACTGAGAGAAGGGCCTCTTCTGATGATCTAAATCAGTGCTTCTCAACCTCCCTACAGTTCCGCATGTTGTGGTGACCTCCAACTATAACATTATTTTCATTGATACTTCATAACTGTAATTTTGCTACTGTTATGAACCGTGATACAAATATCTGATATGCAGGATGTATTTTCAGTCACTGGACCAAATTTGGCACAAACACGTGATACGCCCAATTTGAATACTGGTGGAGTTATGGGGGATCGATTTTATCATTTGGGAGTTGTAGTTTTGGGGATTTGTAGTCTTGAAGGGAATTTGTTCTGTCGCACGCTGGGCTTGTAAATAATTTCCTTTAGAACAGGACATGCAACCTTTGCCCAGCGGGAAGCCAGGGGGCCTAAAGAGAAGTTCTCAGAGGTTTTACCACAAATAGTCTTCAGATGGCTTGTGAAGTACAACAACGTCTTTTATTAATGAACAATCAAACAACTTCTCTTGTCTTCGGTAAAGTTAAGCAAATGATTCAAAGCTTTTAGGCAACTGGTGAATTCCTAATCTTGCCCACAAGGGACAGGCAACTGTCTTCAATAACTTCTTCTTTAAAGGAAAATCCCCCTTTTTAACTTCTCCCAGGCTGACTGTAATCTAACCCTTACTGATGTGGGCTCTGCTACCAGGTCAAACTGCTTCTCAAACGCCGAGTGGACCTACCAGTAAAGGCTTAGATGTTCTCTAGCTGGAGTTCTTTGGTCTTTAGGGCTGTTTTCCTGGAAATTCTTAAAAGGTTGAAGCTTTTGTACAGGGGAAGCTTGCACACGTCCTGTACATTAGTTTTCCTTGCTGAGACTAACTAAAAAATGGCTCCCTTCCCTTCCCAATTGCCCTGAGCAAGGGGCGGGACCAAAACTTAACAATGATGGACAGGTGACTTGCCCTAAGACTGCAACCAAAAGAAGCCACCTATCTGCAGAGCCCCTGAAACCTAGGACAGCAATCGAACATTTACTACAAAGCAAATAAAGTTGGAGCTCCTGGTACAGCTGTTGTTGTTGTTGTTCATTCGTTCAGTTGTCTCCGACTCTTTGTGACCTCATGGACCAGCCCACGCTAGAGCTCCCTGTCGGCCGTCACCACCCCCAGCTCCTTCAAGGTCAGTCCAGTCACTTCAAGGATGCCATCCATCCATCTTGCCCTTGGTCGGCCCCTCTTCCTTTTGCCTTCCACCGTCCCCAGCATAATTGTTTTCTCGAAGCTTTGCTGTCTCCTCATGATGTGGCCAAAGTACAGCTGTACCAGAACAGAATTGCTGGTGTGAGTCTCCCTCCAGCCTCGCACGCTATCCCTCACCTGCACATGCGCACCATGCTACCATGTGCTGAGCACGCCTGCTCTCCCCTCCCTGCTTGGAGTCTCAGAAACAGCTCTCCCCTTGGCTGAGAGGCCAGTCAATCACAGCGGAGGAGGGCTTTAGATGGGAGGATTCGCCGTCTGTTTCCAAAAAGGAAGAGAATGACAGGAGAGATCTTCAGCCTTCTCTGCCAAAGGGGTACCTAAGACCAGCAAAAATATAGGTTTTCTGATGGGTTTTGGCAACCCCTCTGAAACCCTCTCATGACCCCCTCCCCAAGGGGTCCTGACCCCCAGGTTGAGAAACGCTGCTCTATGAACCGGAACCACTGCAAAACAGTGCCTCCAAGCCCGATTCCCACAAGGCGTCTCAGAAGGATACCATGGTCTATAGCAAGGGTCCTCAAACTAAGGCCCAGGCAGTTTCACAGGGGAGGATGTCGCCGAATACCACGTCCACGGCGGTCCAGCAGTGGTCAGTGGCGTCTTGAATGCCTTGGGTGGATCTTTTTTCCTTCATGCTGGAAGCAGTTACCAAACAAAGTTGGAAAGGGGCGGCACCCCAAAGACCATCTAGTCCAGGGGTCGTCAAACTAAGGCCCGAGGGCCAGATTTGGCCCTACAAGGTCATTTACCCGGCCCTCGCTCAGGGTCAACCTAAGTCTGAAATGATTTGAAAGCACACAACAACAACAACAACAATCCTATCTCATCAGCCAAAAGCAGGCCCACACTTCTACTACTAATAAGTTTATATTTGTTAAAATTGTTCTTCATTTTAATTATTGTATTGTTTTTAAGTGTTTTTGCACTACAAATAAGATATGTGCAGTGTGCATAGGAATTCATTCATGTTTTTTTCAAATTATAATCTGGCCCTACAACAGTTTGAGGGGATGTGATCTGGCCCTCGGTTGAAAACTATGAGGACCCCTGGTCTATAGTATCGAAAGCCGCTGAGAGGTTTAAGAGAACCAGAACAGACACACTCCCCCTATCTAGCTCTCTACGTAGATCATCCACCAAAGCGACCAATGCCGTCTCAGTCCCGTAGCCAGGGGCGGTTCAACCATTACGCAAAGTAAGCATTCGCAGTATAGTTGATTTTGCCCAGGGGCGCTCTTGAGGCGCTCTTGGGGGAAAATAGACCTTGACATATGCGAGTTGTAGTTACTGGGATGTATAGTTCACCTACAATCAAAGATCATTCTGAACTCCACCAATGACGGAATTGAACCAAATATGGCACACAGAACTCCCACGACGAACAGAAAATATATATCAGTGATTGGTTGGGGGGGGGGGGCGCCAAAATACTGTTTGCTTACCATTGAAAATTACCTAGGGCCACCTCTGCCCGTAGCTAGGCCTGAAACCAGACTGGGATGGATTCCTAAAAGATGCCCATCCCAAGCCTCCAAAGGTCATCACAGACACATTGCATTGGAAGAAGGAACATCCAAGGGTCATCTAATGCCCCAATAAACCTCTCCTGAAAGATGTCCATCCCTCCAACGCTGAAAAGGCCTTTAAAGGTCTCGGCCACCATCCTGCGGTCGTATTGGAAAGTTGTGCCACTTTATCTCTTGTTTTATCCTTTGTGTTTCATTGTATTCCATTGTATAATTAAATAAAATAATAATAAAACTGTATTTATACCCCGCTACCATCTCCCCAAGGGACTCGGTGCAGCTTACATGAGGCCGAGCCCACAATACATCAATAATAAAAACAATAGCAAGTAATACAAAACAATAAAAATAAAACTCATAACAGAAAATAAGCAATAAACATTAACAGTAACACAAGTATCAAGGCATTGAATGTTTCAAGGCA